CTCATACCCAGTCTTCCCATTGTGATATGGAACCTTGTTGTACAATTTCAGAGAGATCCATACACTTACACACAAGTTATGGTCCGGAAACTACAAAATCGCTTGTTTTTTTATCCTTTTTGGTCCCCATTTTTTTTAAAACCGTTGGTACCATAACCCAAAACCAATCCCAGTATTCCCATTGTGATATGGAACCTTGTGGTACATTTTCAGAGATATCCATAGACTTACACACAAGTTATGGTCAGGAAACTACAAAATTGCTTGTTTTTTACCCTTTTGGGGCCCTTAATTTCTAAACCTTTGGTACCATTACCCCCAAAATCACTCCCAACCTTCCCTTTTTGGTATTGAACTAGAAAAATGCTTGTTTTTGGTCCTTTGTTTGCCCCCAACTCCTGCATGTTTGTGGCAATTACCCCCAAACTCAATCTCAGCCTTCCCTTGATATGGAACCTTGTGGTACAATGTCAGAGAGATCCATACACTTACACACAAGTTATTGTCCGGAAACTACAAAAATGCTTTTTTTTTTACCCTTTTTGGCCCTTAGTTCCCAATCTGTTGGCACCATAACCCCCAAAATGTGGCATTAAACATTGTGGTATAATTATAGACCAATCAAAATACTTTTACACAAGTAAGTATCCTGAAACTAGAAAAATGCTTGTTTTGGGCCCCTTTTGGGCCCCTAATTTCTAAGCGGTTGGGACCATCATCCCCAAAATAAATCCCAACCATCCTTTTGTAGTAACCTTCTTAAAAAATTTCATAGAGATCCATTCACATAAATTCAAGTTATTGTCCGGAAACCAAATATGTCTTTGGATGACGTTGCAGACGATGCTGACGATGCAGACGACGACATCATAGCATTATACGAACCCAAAAATTTTTTTGCGGTCGTATAAAAATGTAAACAAGAATATAAGGATGGTATGAGAGCCAATGAGACAACACTTCTCTCTGTCAAAGAAACAATGTATTAAAAGTAAGCAATATATATATATAATAGGTTAAAATATGTTTAGTAATAACATGGCTATTATATTATACTTTAATCGTATGAAAAAAAATCATAGAAATTTTAGTATTAACATGATTAAATATGGCTATATACAGTGATATATGTTCATGGACACTTTTTCATACTTAAGGCCATTTTTCATAGGAAAATTGTGGCTTGGACACATTTAAATAAGTAAATATTATTAAGTCCTATGAAACCTCCTCCCCCACCCAACACATTCTTTAAATTCCTGTCCAAAGTCAGGAGCCTGTGATTGAATGGCTGTAATTCTAATATTATAGTTTTAGCCTAAATCAGACATAGGTTTTCTCATTTTATTTTATTTTTTAAATTGGTTCATGACTGCCTTTTATAGCTTGCTATAGAGTTTTATGGCTTTAAGGATCATCGTTGAAGATTGTATGATGACCAAAAGTAGCTAGCATCTACATCATTTGGTATTTGGTGTATAAGTGTCTCATTTGCAATTATACAACAACTCCTTACTTTAGCTCACCTGGCCACAGCAAGACAAGAAATATGACAAGGACAAAACTGTTGGTTAACTCTGTAAAGGAGTAATTGCCCCAAATTGATGATTTTTACCAATTTTAGTGTTTTTCCTTTTAATTCAAATACTATAAAAGATAAAATAAATGGGGAATGTGTCCATAGGGACTCAGATGATGTCCCCGCTAGCATATAACGTTATAAAGGGACATAACTCACTAACTGTATAAGTGACGCTACCAAAATTTGAACTTAAACTGAGTTTTGTGGTAATAAGCATTGTATATACATTTCATAACATTTAGTTGAGACAAACTGAAGTTGGAAACAAAAAATTCAGCAACTTTTCTATTTGTAAAAAAAAACACAACTTTTGAACGGTAAAAGTGACGCCACCAAAACTCAAACTCAATCTGTGTTTTGTGGTAATGAGCATTGTGTATAAGTTTCATATCATTTGGTTGAGTCAAACTGAAGTGGGAGAACGTAACAAAACATTCAGCATTTTTTTTCATTTGTAAAGGGGCATAACTCTTGAATGGTAAAAGTGATGCCACCAAAACTCAAACTCAATCTGTGTTTTGTGGTAATGAGCATTGTGTATAAGTTTCATATCATTTGGTTGAGTCAAACTGAAGTGGGAGAACGTAACAAAAAATTCAGCATTTTTTTTCATTTGTAAAGGGGCATAACTCTTGAATGGTAAAAGTGATGCCACCAAAACTCAAACTCAATCTGTGTTTTGTGGTAATGAGCATTGTGTATAAGTTTCATATCATTTGGTTGAGTCAAACTGAAGTGGGAGAACGTAACAAAAAATTCAGCATTTTTTTTCATTTGTAAAGGGGCATAACTCTTGAATGGTAAAAGTGATGCCACCAAAATTCAAACTTGTCTTGTGTTTTGTGGTAATAAGCATTGTGTTCAACGTTTCATAACATTTGGTTGAGGCAAACTAAAGTTAGAAAACCGAAACCAATTTTGGGACGTACGTACGTACAGACAGACAAGGGTTAAACTTAATGCCCCCTCAACTGCGGCAGGGGCAATAAAAAAATTCAGAGCAGAAATGATCATGAGGACAAGATTCACAAAATAATCACCAAAACAAAATCTTCAGATATTTTTTTTAATATTCAAAAGAAAATGTATGGTTTTTTTTGGGGGGAAAACTCAGAAGTACTCCATTTAAATGTTATTGCCACTGAATGTTTATCAAACAAGTAACCATGGTAACTACATGTAGTATGTTAATTTGGATACTGTTGTTTTGTGTATCATACTTTGATATTTTTATATTTTACATCAGATTTTAGTAAATTTAATTCTAAGTAATTAATGAGTAGTTTCTAGTCATGCATCAGTGGTTTTATTTATTGTAAGACTTCTTTCTTCATGGCTCAGTGAATTTTGATCCATTGAGTATTAGTTTACTCTCTAGGTTTAACTAGTTTGTGCTATGAAAACTCTATCTACTTTATGATAATTGGTTCATTAAGTCATGTGTCTATTTAGGAGGGAAATTCTTTTGTTTAGTCAGACTTTACTTATATTTTGAACTGATAGGTGTGCTGTTCCTTATATAATTTTATTCAAATTTGGTGGACATCTTTGATTTTTTTTCAAATAAGGTCAGTGTTCCATAATTAATACCTCACATGCCTTCTAATATACTGATATGAATTAATGTATTACATTAATGATTTTGTATGAATGGTCAAAATGAATGATTTCAGAATAAAGGTTCAAATGAATGATTATTATGAAACACAAAAGCACATATTTATAAAATATTGGTTCAATCAGATAAGTCTAAATAATCATTTTATAAGAATTTATGCCAAACAATATTTGAATATCTCGGTTATTGCCAAAAAAATTAAAAGTAATTATGTATTGGACCCCCCTTTTTTTTACATTTAATGTAAATGAATGGGGACATATGGTTGGAAACCTCCTCCCCCTTTTTATCCTGGGTTGGAACCGAGGGGCGGGTCCATGTGAGGGCGTAATGGGCGTACGCCCCCCCCCTTTTAAAAAAAAAAACAAAACAAAAACTATCGTAATCTGCTAATACTGTATTGAATATGGCAATTTATCATATTCATTAATTAAACATATACTCTGAAAATTGTTCTAATGAATCCACTCTTAGTCTAACCATTGATTGAAAATGAGAGTCCGTCGGTATTTCTGTGTTCATTTTAGGTTTTGCGTTAAGGTACATTTATACTAGTAACATGTATATTTGGTATAGCATTTTACTTCCCATCTGGATAGCCTTTGGTAGTATCATAATGTTTCAATATCCATTAGTGAGTAACTAAGTGACATTGACCTATATATTGCCATCAAGTTCAAGCACCATATTTATTTATGTACCATATACCACCTATCGGAACTAGACAGTGACATGATTGCTTTAATTTAGTATTGTAGTACAATGACGTCAATTTTTCATATTCAATCATGTATTCCACATTAAAGCCTACAATATTTAGAACGAAAGAACTTTATACTTCAGCGTTTGAATCTAAAATAGAGAGATATTTATCAGTCTGGCTACTTCATAATTTGATGCTAAATTGTTGAAATCCAGGAGCTTCTGAGCTTCCCCATGGACCCTCTACCAGGGCAACCGTAATTTCGCATCCGGTTCATAAAATCCTGGCCTAGGACTATTGAAATGTTAAGTAACGCCTTATACCCTAGAATTCAGTGGAATTTCTCGTTATTGGTCTACTGCTGTTAAGATCCATACAATCATTTTAATATACCATAGACAATTAATGGAGAGAATTCGGCATAAAAAATGTCAAACCCTGACACTCTATATATAACTATAAAATATACATGCTTCAAGTCAGGAACCGTTACATTAGTGCATTTCACAAATATTTTATGTTTTTTTAGCAAAAAAATGTCCAAAAAATTTTCCTCCCCCCTTATGTAATTGCTGGATCCGCCCCTGGAAACATTACAGCTTAAAGAAACTTCAAATTGCAAAAATGATCAACAAGACAAATTCTACAAACAAGTCAAACTTTACGAAATTAAAAACTACTCATTATTAGAGTTATTGACTGTTTAATGATGACTTTTATCATTTGTTTTCCTTTTCTGAAAAACAATAATAATATTTTACATTTAACTATTATAGATAGAAAGCCACTTTAATAGCAAAAATGATCAGCAAGACAAGATCTACAAATATGTCAAATTTTGCCAAAATCGTGAATTCCCTTATATGACAAGTTTGCACAAACCAACACACTCCCTAGAGCCATCTCGTTGATATTGTCATATTAAATGAACAGAGTTATCTTTCTTTGTACTGATTATTAATATTGCAGGGTCAGTATCTGATGTGTTTATTTTTATTATACTACCAAAACTACTCAGTTTTGTACAAATATTCTAAAAATAATATGCCTATTTATTTATCCTAATTGACATGTTTTTATGTTTTGCAGGAAATTTCTATCAGTAAATGAATCAAATGAAGAATCTTCATGGTTAAATGCATAGAAAGGATATTTGAAGAGAGCCAATGATTGACATAAGGAGAAGCAGTTATGAATTTTGAAATTGATATAAAGGAGAGGTCATTCATCACAGAAGATTTAATCAAAGTTTACAGGTAGGAGACTTGATCGGTTGATTTTTACCAATAGTCATAAATAAAAAAGATGTGGTACTATGATTGCCAATGAGACAACTATCCCTGAGAGTCCAAATATTGCAGATTTAAGCAATGGTATATTACTATGGCTTTCAACAATGAGCAAAACCCATACCATATCTTCAGCATCTGCTTAGACATTGCTTGTTTACTGTAATGTGGCAAATGTTTAATGCATATTCAAGATGATATAAAATGTTAATAGATGTAAATAACTTAAGTAGCTTCTAAAAATTTTGTAAAAATTGTTGGAGAGGGGAGGAACTAGCTATGGACGAAAGATAGGTGGTGGTGGCAATAAAATTTGCTTTGCAACAAACCATCTGCAGATTCTTCATATAAAAAGTTGTTACACAGGAGACGACCAGTTATTGAATAGAAATAGAAATAGAAACATTTGCGTTCTTGTATTATCACTCAAATTTCCAGATCAGATCGAAATTTTTCTGTTAAATATATTGGTATGCAATCCTATACATGCTCATCTCATTTCTATGGAAATTACATTGTACTGTTCCCTGGTCATAGTTCATAATCTATGAAAAGTTGGTATCAGAAAAATGTAATTAATATAGGTTCAAGTTTGTGCTTTATCCAGTTTAGAGGGAACCGCTTATAAATTTTAGTCAATGAATGGTAGTTTTGGTATAAAATTGTATAAGAATGATTAGCATTGGCATTTCTTGTCTTCGTGGAAATTATTTAACCCTACATCTCAGTCTTAATTCATTGACATTGGCTACAGAATGTTTGCATTGTCACAAACAAAAAGAAGACATAGGTCTTATACTTCTTTGGCATTATGGTTTACATGTTTTATGAACAATTGCCATTTGAAATTCAGGAGTAACTTCAAGATATAATTTTTTTTATTCATTTTCCATATTCTACATGGACTATTGGACTAATATTCATAAATTCCATATTTTACCTGGTACTATTATACTCATCAGTTTCTAGGGTCAATATTTTGACCCTACTGTATAGATTTGTTTTTTACTGAAAAAACATATTGGCATAAAGGGACATAACTGATCATGAAGAATGGTAAAAGTGATGCTACCCAAATTTGTACTTGAACTGAGTTTTGTGGTAATAAGTATTGTGTATTATAACTTTCATACCATTTAGTTAAGGCAATCTAAAGTAAGAGAACTATATGACCTCAAATGCATTGATCGTTAAAAAAAGGGGGGTTCCAACCCCAGCAACCCTCCCCTGGATCTGCCATAATGGGGCTTCGGTGGCTGAATGGTCTAAGTAGTGAAACTACTGTATCACTAGCCTGTAAATAGATATAACAGTGATATCATACTTTAACTTTGTTTAAACCTGTTTATTTACTTTTGACTTTAATTAATTGTCCCTTGTAATTTTTTATTAACTGTGTATTTGCATTCAGGTGTCACAGGTCAAATTTATTTGTTCATTATGTGTTAATTTACGTTTTTTGATTGAGTTAAGCCTTCCAATTGATATTTTATAGTGTGTTTTTCTATGTTGTGATGTTATACTATTGTTTCAGAAAAGGGAGAAGGTTTGGTACCATTAAAACGTTTAATCCCGCTGCAAATGTTTGCACCTGTCCTAAGTCAGGAATCTGATTACAGTAGTTGTCGTCTGTTTATGTAGTTCATACGTGTTTCTCGTTTCTCGTTTTAATATAGATTAGACCGTTGGTTTTTTCGTTTGAATGGTTTTACACTAGTAATTTTTTGGGGCCCTTTATAGCTTGCTGTTCGGTGTGAGCCAATGCTCCGTGTTGAAGGCCGTACCTTGTCCTATAATGGTTTACTTTTATAAATTTTAACTTGGATGGAGAGTTGTCTCATTGGCACTCATACCACATCTTCCTATATCTATATAAGAAGTTATCCCTGGCTCAGTATACTTCTAGGATATTGATTGTTTAACACACGTGGTTACAAAACCCATAGCCGCTGGGTGTTGCTAAACCATATACCGGGCACTTCAGTGGCGTAGCCAGGTTCTGTGTGCAAAGCTCTGGTAGGGGCAAAGCCCGCCTGAAGCTCAGAGAATTAAGTAAACACAAAGAAGAATTTTGTTGTTGGAAATTTATCTGTTCTGTCTAATTTTCTTTAGAATTATATGTAATGACAGGGTCCAGTTATACCTCGATAAACGGACATGAGTGTTGGACTGATTCAGTGACGACAATTTGTTTATAAACCAGTATAATGCTGCTCTACTAATTTGCCTATTGAATATGCTAGAGAACTCGACGGAGACAATCAACCTTCAAAGAGTGATGCAAACAATTTTGTAATATATGTAGGCTGTAACATAATATTATGAAATAGATAATACATTAGCTTAGTCATAGGCCCGATCGTTGCTGGTTTATGGCCGCTATGACAACACCAAAGCAGACAGCTGATTACGAACAAGTCAATACAGAAAAGGTGCACAAATAAAACCAATAGTTCTGCATTTTTAAGATTGATTAGTATGAGGAAAAGGAGTCTGAAGAACAAATCATGCGGACTCAAAACAATCCAATTATTCAAGTTTGCTTGACATACCGATAAATGGGAATAAAAGGAAATGGTTACACGCAAGCGAGACAGCATTTTATCGACATAGATTAAAAAAAAAAACGTCAAACGATATTAACAAACGTCCTCCAACAATGGACAAGTGTTTAAATAATATATATCAAGCTCTAAACCGGCCAGAGCAACACAGTCGTGAATACAATTTGCAGAGACTATAAAAGATCTGTCATTGACACCAAATTTCGAAAATGACAAAATTATAAAGATAGAGTGACTTCCTGACTTCATCTTGGGTAAAGCACATAATCATGAAGCGATGTGAAACGAATTTTTGAAATCAGTATCCTCCAATATAAGACAGCAACCAAACGACACACAAAAATAATAAAAGACTTCTAGAGGTCAACGCATCTGGTTTTTAACTTGTTGACTGATAAGTGATTTGCAAATAACAACAATTTACTGGTTTCATTTAAGCAAGCAACATTTTTCTTTGTTTGGTATTATAAAATATGTCAACAACTTCTTTTCAAATCAATTTCAAAATCAGCATGAATGTGCAATACATGTAGTATTAGAGAAGATAGCCATTATTGTCCCATTGTATATCTAAGATAGGTTTTAACCCGTTTCAGTTGCAGTTGTTGGTGGCATAGTAAGAAGAATTCTACAGTATATATTAGAATGCAGTTCTTTGTTTGTCGTTTCCAATGTTTCATATAGTTGATCTGGTATCTTTCAACGAGCAACATATTTTTGGATCTCGAGAGGCTCATTGGCGTGATATATATACACAACTGATCTTCGCGTTTTAACTCTTTAACATTCTGTGGAATTAGAAGGTGGGCGAGAAACATTTCCTCTGAATTAACCAGTCAATCGGTCTTTAAATTCGTTTAGAAGATGGTATATGAACTGATGTAACTGATGGTAAAATATGGAAAAGTTTGGGTATTCTTATAAGTATCGATGAATAAATTGTATTTATCGATACTCCCTCACTCTCACACTCTTTCTCAATCATTCTTTAAAAAAAAAGTCTTTCAAAACTTTTTTTTTGCCTGTTTGTTTGTGCACGCAAGTGCGTCGTTGCGTCAATAGTAACTACGCCACTGCACTTGAACGTTGCTACCCAGTTTTCCTTAATTCCATGGTTGTTCCTTGTGAAATATTGAATTCTGTATATTATTTATTATGTCTAACAATGTTAGTCTTTTATGCCAATCATTTGCACTCATTTTTATACGACCGCAAAAATATTTTTGTGGTCGTATATTGGTATGACGTTGGCGTCGTCGTCGTCGTCGTCGTCGTCGTGATTAGATTTTTAATTTTGGGTCCCGTTTTTTAAATTGGTCTACAGTAAGATCCAAAGGGTCCAAAATTAAACTTAATTTGATTTTAACAAAAATTGAATTCTTGGGGTTCTTTGATATGCTGAATCTAAACATGTGTTTAGATTTTTGATTATGGGCCCAGTTTTCAAGTTGGTCCAAGTTGGGGTCCAAAATTAAACTTTGTTTGATTTCAACAAAAATTGAATATATGGGGTTCTTTGATATGCTGAATCTAAACATGTATTTAGATTTTAGATTTTTGGCCCAGTTTTCAAGTTGGTCCAAATTGGGGTCCAAAATTAAACTTTGTTTGATTTCAACAAAAATTGAATATATTGGGTTCTTTGATATGCTGAATCTTACCATGTATTTAGATTTTTTATTTGTGGACCCGCTATCAAATTTGTTCATATTGAGGTCAAAAGGGTCCAAAATTAAACTTTGTTTGATTTCATCAAAAATTGAATTATTGGGGTTCTTTGATATGCCAAATCTTACCGTGTATTTAGATTTTTAATTTTGGGTCCCGTTTTTTAAATTGGTCTACATTAAGGTCCAAAATTAAACTTAGTTTGATTTTAACAAAAATTGAATTCTTGGGGTTCTTTGATATGCTGAATCTAAACATGTGTTTAGATTTTTGATTATGGGCCCAGTTTTCAAGTTGGTCCAAGTTGGGGTCCAAAATTAAACTTTGTTTGATTTCAACAAAAATTGAATATATGGGGTTCTTTGATATGCTGAATCTAACCATGTATTTTGATTTTGGACATTGGACCATAAAAGGTAAATTAAAAAAAATCAAGTTCTTAGACCACATTCTTTCTGTGTCAGAAACCTATGCTGTGTCAAATATTTAATCACAATCCAAATTCAGAGCTGTATCAAGCTTGAATGTTGTGTCCATACTTGCCCCAACTGTTCAGGGTTCGACCTCTGCGGTCGTATCAAGCTGCGCCCAGCGAAGCATTTTATTAGTAAATGCATCGCTTGGCTGCCACATTCAGTGGCGTAGCTACCTAAGGCTCGACTAGGCACGTGCCTATACACAAATTTGCCAATTATATACCCCTTTGGAATAAAAAAAAAATACACATTGTAATTCTAATGCGTATTATTATTTATACGGTGCCCGTCCGTATTCAAACACCGATCTGTACCCTTCGGTGCATAGGATTATTTTGATTTTATTGACAACTATCAACTGTTTCATCGGCAACTAGTGAAAGATCCTTCAGTGCGATGCGACGCATCAAGTCCTACCTGAGATCGGAGATGAGCGACTTTCTAATCTATCCCTTCTTTATACCCACCCACACCTCAATGTTGAAGTTGATGAGAGTATAACTGATTTTATTGGCAGAAAAAAAACGTTGACTTGACTTTGAATAAGTGTATCATTGACTTTGTGCATGAAACTGGATCTGAAAGTTATTCATAAAAGTTCAGAAATTTTAGATTTGTTTAACCAATTTTTCCCCAATGAGTTAAAAGATTCGTTCGAAAAAGTTGAAAATCGTTTCCCTTGACCCTCTGTGGGCCTTAAGCTTAAAATAGTCCGAACAAATTTTCGCCTCGCTCTCTGCACGCTAATAACACTTGCAACAACTCTTTGAGGGGTCTGCTGAAAGGCAAAATATCTGTCCCTATCCAATAAAGATCAATAAACCCTAATTTTCCAATGGCATTTTCAAAAGTTCAGACCTTCATCCTGGACGACCCCTATTACAGGACCTAGTGGCTAACTGTTGTATTTACTAGTATCGTAAATTTGTTTTTGTCCTGATCATGCAAAACTATTTGCCACTGGATGTTTAGCAATAAATCAATCAACTATCTTCCAGTAATCTCAGATCTGTGTGTAATGACCACATTAATTCAAATTCCTAAGCAGGTAGGGATTTTACAGTAGAGGATATAAGAAAATATGAATTTCTTGAATATTGTAACGATAGTATGAACAGAACAGAACTTCTGCATTAGGCATCGACTGTGTGTGTGTTTGTGTGGCTGGGGTGAAGGTTTAAGAATCAAAAGATCAATGGTTCAGGTTGATGTCTACCCCAAAGAATAGTATTATTATATAGTAATCTCAGGATTTACTTGCCTATTTTTAGCTCACCTGGGCCAAGTGAGCTTTTCTCATCACTTGGCGTCCGTCGTCTGTCGTCCGTAAACTTTTACAAAAATCTTCTCCTCTGAAACTACTGGGCCAAATTTAACCAAACTTGGCCACAATCATCATTAGGGTATCTAGTTTAAAAAAGGTGTGCGATGACCCGGCCAACTAACCAAGATGGCCGCCATGGCTAAAAATAGAACATAGGGGGTAAAATGTAGATTTTGGCTTATATCTCTGAAACCAAAGCATTTAGAGCAAATCTGACATGGGGTAAAATTGTTTATCAGGTCAAGATCTATCTCCCCGGAAATTTTTTTGACAAATCGGACACCCCGTTGTTGGGTTGCTGCCCCCGATTTAGTAATTTTAAGGAAATCTGCAGTTTTTGGTTATAATCTTGAATATTATTATAGATAGAGATAAACTGAAAACAGCAATAATGTTCAGCAAAGTAAGATCTACAAATAAGTCAAATGACCTAAATTGTCAGTTGACCCCTTAAGGAGTTATTGCCCTTTATAGTCAATTTTTAACAATTTTTCGTTAATTTTTGTAATCTTTTACAAAAATCTTCTCCTCTGAAACTACTTTGACAAATTTAACCAAACTTGGCAATCATCATCTTAAGGGTATGTAGTTTTAAAAATGTGTCCAATAATCCTGTCCACAAACCAAGATGGCTGACATGGCTAAAAATAGTATATAGGGGTAAAATGCAATTTTTGGCTAATATCTCTGAATTCAAAGCATTTAGAGCAAATCTCATTCATTAAAATATGTTCATTAAGTCAAGATCTAACTGCCCTGAAATTTTCAGACAAATCAGGCAACTTGTTGTTGGGTTCCTGCCCCTGAATTGGTAATTTTAAGAAATTTTGCAGATTTTGGTTATTATCTTCAATATTATCTTAGATAAAGATAAACTGTAAACAGCAATTATGTATAGCAAAGTAAGATCTACAAATAAGTCAACTTGACCAAAACGGTCAATAAGGAGTTATTGCTTTTTATAGTAAATTTTAAACAATTTTCGTAAATTATGTAATTTTTTGTAATTTTTATACGACTTCAAAAAATTTTTGTGGTCATATATTGGTATGACATTGGCATCGTCGTCGTCCGGCGTCGGCGTCGTCGTCCGAAGACGCATTAGTTTTCGCATCTAACTTTAGTTTAAGTGAATGGATCTCTATGAAATTTTACCATAAGGTTCAATACCACAAAAGGAAGGTGGGGATTGATTTTGGGGGTTATGGTACCAACAGTTAAGGAATTAGGGGCCAAAAAGGGCCAAAAATAAGCATTTTTGTAACTTCCAGACATAACTTGTGTGTTAGTGTATGGATCTCTCTGAGATTGTACCACAAGATTCCATATCACAAAGGGAATGCTGGGATTGATTTTGGGGGTAATTGCCTCAAAATTTTAGGAATTAGGGGCCAAAAAAGGGGTAAAAAAAACAGGCAAATTTATATGGACAAATACGTTAGTACAAAACATAATTTAAAGCAGTGTAAGGGAGATAAATCAAATACATCATTTGAATTATCTCCCTTACACTGCTTTTAAATTATGTATAAAGTAATGGTTAATGAACAATTAAGACAATTTAAAACAGTGTAAGGGAGGTAATCCACATACAACGTTTTGATTACTTCCCTTGCACTGCTTTTAAATTATGTTTAAAGAAATGCATATTTATAAAGGAAGACCAGCAAAAATATCTTCAAATGTTGCATCTTTTTTTTTTACAAAAAAATCCATATGAAAGATTTGACACCATATTTTAAATTCTATTATAAAATAGATTAAGTTAGCACTATGGTAAATTTAAATTATGGTTGCAAATTCCTTTGGAAATTTGAATTGAGATTATGACCATATCTTGAGGGAAAGAACTTTTTGGGGGAAAATGGGGGGGGGGGGGGGGGGGGTAAAAAGAAATTGTGGGGGTCAATTTTTTCTCATTTCAGATTTCAGAAATTAAAGAGAATTATTCTTCAAATATTTTTTTTTTCAAATTTCCTATATTGAAAAATTTCAAGAAGTAATCTTTAATTGCACAGTATGGCGCATTAGATTTGTAAAATTTTTGACCACATTTATTTATTTGTTATGCCAAATCTGACCATGTATTTAGATTTTTAATTTTGGGTCCAGTTTTCAAATTGGTCTACATTAAGGTCCAAAGGGTCCAAAATTAATTTAGTTTGATTTTAACCAAAATTGAATATATGGGGTTCTTTGATATGCTGAATTCAAACATGTATTTAGATTTTTGATTTTGGGCCCAGTTTTCAAGTTGGTCCAAATTGGGGTCCAAAATTAAACTTTGTTTGATTTCAACAAAAATTGAATATATGGGGTTCTTTGATATGCTGAATCTAACCATGTATTTAGATTTTTTATTTGTGGGCCCCACTATCAAATTTGTTCATATTGAGGTCAAAAGGGTCCAAAATTAAACTTTGTTTGATTTCATCAAAAATTGAATTATTGGGGTTCTTTGATATGCCAAATCTAACCATGTATTTAGATTTTTAATTTTAGGTCTAGTTTTCAAATTGGTCTACATTAAGGTTCAAAGGATCCAAAATTAAACTTAGTTTGATTTAAACAAAAATTGAATATATGGGGTTCCTTGATATGCTGAATCTAAACATGTATTTAGATTTTTGATTTTGGGCCCAGTTTTCAAGTTGGTCCAAATTGGAGTCCAAAATTAAACTTTGTTTGATTTCAACAAAAATTGAATATATGGTGTTCTTTGATATGCTGAATCTAACCATGTATTTAGATTTTTTATTTGTGGGCCCCGCTATCAAATTGGTTCATATTGAGGTCATGCATACTTTAGGGATAATAAATCTTATTTTTACTTTTCAGTATGTTGAGAGAAGTTCAGAACAAGCAATTTGGTTGAAGAGGAGTTGTCAACACGTCATCTTTGAACAAGGTCAATTGTATTAGAAGTGAATCCTTAACAGAAATGAGACAATAATCAAATAATTCAAAGACTACATGGATGTTATCTGGACTAGCATTTGTATGACCTAAATGTGGTATTTTTCATATGAACACTTACAAGGCAGATAATAGTCTGTGACAAACATTTGTATGCAATTAAAGACTTGAAGAACTTGTACGGTATTCTTCAGATTTCAGTAGAAACGGTACATTCTTGGTATGAATTGAAGAATTTTTGCTCATTTAAATGAATTATGAAAATGTTTTATATGTTTAGAATAAACAAAAACAACATAAAAGATAGACAAATTTTTATTTTCTTTCTTGAAACTTATAACAGAATAAATTGTCATATGCTAATTCTTGATAGATGTGCTGCCAGAAATTTATCAAGTCTATTTTTAGCCTGAAAGTGCAACTCAATGCACGGGTTATACACACAGGAAACTACATTTATCTCTCAACCATATAAAATATAAGGATATATGGAAGGGTTGCCAATGAGAATAACTATCCTTGAATGCCAATGATATCTTATAAACTATATAAGATATCTCATTAACTATATAAGATATCTAATAAACTATATAAGATATCTTATAAACTATATAAGATATCTTTAATACTATATAAGATATCTTTAATATAAACTATATAAGATATTTTTAATATAAACTATATAAGATATCTCATTAACTATATAAGATATCTCATATAAGATATCTCACATATTATATAAGATATCTTATAAACTATATAAGATATCTTATAAACTATATAAGATATCTTATAAATTATATAAGATATCTTTAATACTATATAAGATATCTTTAATATAAACTATATAAGATATCTTTAATATAAACTATATAAGATATCTCATATAAGATATCTCACATATTATATAAGATATCTTATATAGTTTATAAGATATCTCATATAGTTTTTAAGATATCTCATAAAATTTATAAAATATCTTTTAAACTATATGAGATATCTTATAAAATTCAGAACATATCTTATAAAGTATGTAATATATCTTATATACTTTATGAGATATCTTATATAATATATAAGATATATATATCTTATATAAAATATAAGATATCTCATTTGATATACAAGATATTGTATAAAAATAAAATTATAAGCTATCTTATATATTAAATAAGATATCTTATACATTAAATAAGATATCATATATTAGATATCTTATATATTATATAACATATCTTATGTATTATATGAGATATCTTGAAATTCGAATAAATAGTAAAATGACTTTCCACCTAAGAACAAGTCATTGTTAAATAGATATAAGAATATGTGGTATGAGTGCCAATGAGGCAACTCTCAATCCAAGTCATAATTTGAAAAAGTAATGATTAAAGACTAAAATTGAGAATGGAAATGGGGAATGTGTCAAAGAGACAACAACTCGACCATAGAGCAGACAACAGCTGAAGGATATACTAGTTCAGTGATAATGGACATCATACTAAACTAATTATACACAAGAAACTACAATTGAAAATCATACAAGAGTAACAAAGGCCAGAGGCTCCTGACTTGGGACAGGCACAAAATTGTGGCGGGGTTAAACATGTTTTTTTGAGATCTCAACTCTCCACTTATACCTCTAGCCAATGTAGAAAAAAAAATCGCACAAAAATACGCACAGTGAAACTCAGTTTAAGAGTTGTCTGAGTTCGATGACAGAATATGAAACAAAAGAAAATAAACAAAATGACAATAATACATAAATAACAACAGACTACTAGCAGTTACTGACATGCCAGCTCAAGACCTCAACTTTTTACATTTTCATATCTTTCTGGTTTTACTTTATAGTTGAGTTGCTGTCACACTGTGTTTACCGGAATGCCACATGTTCTTCAATCCTTAAGAAAACCATCAAGAATTTCAAAACTAGATATATTTTACAGAGAAGTTATTTCACTTCTTAACACAGGCAACTTGGAATCAAGGTTTTTGATATTATTTCACTTCTTACCACAGGCAACTTGGAATCAAGGTTTTTGTTATTATTTCAGTTGTAACATTTAAAAATTATTTTCAGTGAAAAACATGACAACGTTATGTATCAGTTAGCATTGGATACTTGTGTATACGTATGACGAAGTTAAGCCGCGCTCTGTGTTTGGGGTTCACAGATACTATACCTCCCTTTTAGGTATAGGAACGTCCCCCATCATACGTATCAAGTATCCATTCTTACTGGTACGTTAAACTGAGAGTGAGGTGGCTCAGTTTGAATGATGTGCGATGGCTCAGATTTTATTGTTTTTACTGGAACAAACTGAGAGTGAGGTGGCTCAGCCTGCATGTGAAGCTCTATAACATGCTTTTAAGGGGAAAAAAGTATTTTATTTGTTTTTATCCAAATTTTAATTGGGGATATTTTACTGTTTTTATCGAAATTTTAATTGGGGATATTTTATTGTTTTTACTGGAACTGAGAGTGAGGTGGCTCAGTCTGCACGTGAAGCTCTGTTACATGCTTTTAAGGGGAAAAAAGTATTTTATTTGTTTTTATCCAAATTTTAATTGGGGATATTTTACTGTTTTTATCCAAATTTTAATTGGGGATATTTTACTGTTTTTTATCCAAATTTTAATTAGGGATATTTTATTGTTTTTTATCCAAATTTTAATTAGGGATATTTTATTGTTTTTACTAGAACAAACTGAGAGTGAGGTGGCTCAGTCTGCATGTGAAGCTCTGTAACATGCTTTTAAGGGGAAAAAAGTATTTTATTTGTTTTTATCCATATTTTAATTGGGGATATTTTATTGTTTTTACTGGAACAAACTGAGAGTGAGGTGGCTCAGCCTGCATGTGAAGCTCTGTAACATGCTTTTAAGGGGAAAAAAGTATTTTATTTGTTTTTATCCAAATTTTAATTGGGGATATTTTACTGTTTTTATCGAAATTTTAATTGGGGATATTTTATTGTTTTTACTGGAACAAACTGAGAGTGAGGTGGCTCAGTCTGCATGTGAAGCTCTGTAACATGCTTTTAAGGGGGAAAAGTATTTTATTTGTTTTTATCCAAATTGGGGATATTTTACTGTTTTTATCCAAATTTTAATTGGGGATATTTTATTGTTTTTATCAAAATTTTAATTGGGGATATTTTATTGTTTTTACTGGAACAAACTGAGAGTGAGGTGGCTCAGTCTGCATGTGAAGCTCTGTAACATGCTTTTAAGGGGAAAAAGTATTTTATTTGTTTTTATCCAAATTTTAATAGGGGATATTTTACTGTTTTTATCCAAATTTTAATTGGGGATATTTTAATGTTTTTACTGTAACAAACTGAGAGTGAGGTGGCTCAGTCTGCATGTGAAGCTCTGTAACATGCTTTTAAGGTGAAAAAAGTATTTTATTTGTTTTTATCCATATTTTAATTGGGGATATTTTATTGTTTTTACTGGAACAAACTGAGAGTGAGGTGGCTCAAGTCTGCATGTGAAGCTCTGTAACATGCTGCTAAGGGGAAAAAAGTATTTTATTTGTTATTATCCAAATTTTAATTGGGGATTTTTTACTGGAACAAACTGAGAGTGAGGTGGCTCAGTCTGCATGTGAAGCTCTGTAACATGCTTTTAAGGGGAAAAAGTATTTTATTTGTTTTTATCCAAATTTTAATTGGGAATATTTTACTGTTTTTATCAAAATTTTAATTGGGGATATTTTTCGGCATTTATCTAAATTAGTGATATTTTACTGTTTTTATCCAAATTTTAATTGGATATATTTTACTGTTTTTATCCTAATTTATAAGTTGAGGTAGGTCATTTTATGATTATTTGGGAAATGAGGGACTTTTACATTATTTTATCCATTTGGGTGTGGGGGACAAAGGGAATATTTTACTTTTTAAGACCAAATTTTAATTTATACAGGAGACCTTTTTTTTTTTATCTTTTTTTAGTTAAATGTTGAGCCCCCAAGTCAAATCAAAGACTTAAAAACTGATACTCCAAAAGGAAAAGATAGGTGACCTACTGTGGGCATTTGTCTTGGTGAACTAGCACCTACAGCTAACCCACTAGTCCAGCTAACCCACAGGCCGGCTGGCTAGTACAAGCAGACAGGTATTTTATACCATTTGGCATTTTTAAACTTTGGCATTTTTCATTTGGCTTTTTGTTTTATGTGTTTTTGAACTATTTGGATTTATACCATTTGGCAATTTTCATTTATGTTTTTTTCATTTTTTTCAACATATTTTGTAGTCAACACACTTAAAAACACTTCAAAATTAAGAGTGGGATATATACTTTTTGGCCTCCATAATGTTTATCAATCAAAACAGCATTCTATTTTCAAATTTACACAATTTGGCTTTCTGTAACGTTGGCTGTTAATCTTTTGTACGAATGCTATGATGACCATTATGTGTAGAAAATAAGACTATATTTCTAAAAGTGGCTCAGGTTCATATATTTATGTTTGATATCTATCAGTTCTAAATTTCCTTCACATTTCTAAAATTTTAAGATCTTCCATATCTGGTACATCTTATAATATCGTATTCATCTACTAACCCAATTTTGGTAGGTGGTTAAGGGTGTTATGATAGGGTGAAAGGGTGAGAAAGGGAGGGAGAAAAATAGAATGATGGAGAGGGTGAGGGTATATGATTGTGAGTGGAATATAGAGAGGGAGTTAATCTGTGAGAGGATGTGATTTCATAGTAAGGGCAGGGTGTACTGGTCTGGAAGTATAGTTTCTGTTTTGTCTCATGTAGTTTCTGTTTTCTACATCAATCTGATAAGTTTAAATATTGAGAAATTGCTGTCGTCTAAAAGTTCACAGGTTAACAGCCTTTCTTGTTACTGTTTATGTGCTGCTTACATATAAATATTGTAGCACTTCTCAGTAGCTAGATAGAGTTGTGGCTTTTCATCAAATTAAGCAGCAGCTTCTGTACAGTTCATGTTGGAATGATACCAAGTGCTGTGTTTTTCTTCCAAGTTGAGAACATTTTTGATCTTCATGAACTAGTAATTACACATGATGAAGCTTTTTATGGCCCCGCAACAAATATGGCCTCGCAACAAAGCCTTGTCTGTCATTCCATCATTCCGTCAATCCATCTTTCCATCATTCTGTCATTCCGTCATTCCGCAACAAACCATTATACGGGCTTTTTTTCTAAATGCCTTCAGATATTAGGCTGATTTTTGGTATGTGAGTTCACCATGATGAGTTTTAGATGAAGTTTTAGTTTCGTTCTGGTCCGCTAATTTTTGCCAAAATTACAGGCTTTGGACTTCGATAAATTGTTGAAAATCACAGTTATACAGACTTTTTTTTCTAAAGGCCTTCA